ATGGTATTCTCAATACTCTTCTCCAGCACCACAGCTCAAAGGCATCAATTCTCCTTCTATCCTCCTTGGTCACTGTCCAACTCTCTGATGTTTTGGGTAGGATGGGAAAAACGGAATGTGCTCATGATTATTAGTTTATACATTTCCTATTTCAAGTTCCTGTCTAATCATGTAGTAAAGGCAAAGCTGATGACAAGGAAAACCATATTGAAAAATAAACTTATGAAACCACAAAACCTCTCAAGCATCATCTAGTAATCAAATGACATTGCACTGAACAAAATCTTCTGCAAAAGATCTTTAAAGTATGAAAAAGCAAAGATGCCCCTTTGAGGATTGAGGTCAGCTTTACCCGAACTTTGGTATTTCAAATTATCTCATATACATAAAAACTTGGTAGAGGGAAAAAAAGACTAAAATCCTTAGTGAGATGGATTTACAAAGTGGTTGTGACAATGCTTAACAATGACAATAGTTGTGAGGATGGTACAGGACTTGATAGTATTTAATTTTGTTTTCTGTGATTTAAAAATCAACTTGTCAGCACCTAACAATAGCAGATAGAGTTCAGAAATTTTTTGCACTTTCTTTTAAATTCTAACTTAGTAAAATAGTTTCAGGGTTTTATTCAACTTTCATAGTTCTAACAAGTCTAGAGTCTGTGATAGGATTGTTTTGCTTTGTCATCTTTTTGATCATGAGTTTTATAGAATATTTGATAAAAATACTCAGTAATGATCAACTATATTTTCTTACTTATACCCCTACTGGTTATCTTATTAATATATTTTATGAAGTCAATATTTATAATTTTCTCTAGTGGCCTACTGGTAAGAAGCTGCACTGCAATCCCTAAGGCATGTGGTTTGAATCCAGAAAGATGCACAATCTTCTCCTGTGTGATTGAACTCTTTCTGAAAACCCACTGGAGGGTCAGATATGTGCCAATCCTAATTCAATGGCACACAACAACAACAAACATCATGTTATTATAGTTCTTGGATGTAATAATTTAAAGATGTTTGTAACTTTTTTTTTCTGTGAATAGATCTTATTTTATTCCACCCAGCTCCCCTTTTACCAGGATGACTTTTTAAAAAAATTCTTAGAATTGTTTTTATTTGTTGATTTTGCATTTAATGAACTTATTACATTCTTTCTAATTTCATTTTTTCATTAATTAGCTTGATCTTCCTAAGTAAATTCAAGTATAGTTCTTAGATTTGTCTGGTCCTAACTCAGGCTTTAAACTAGACTTTGTATCCTTATATCCAACAAGCGTTATATAAACAATAAGCTTGTTTACAAATAAGCAATGTTGTTAGGTATCATCAAGTTGAGTATGGTTTATAAAACTCTATGAACAGTATATTTGAGCCCTACCCTATCCTATGCCATGCTTATCATCTCTGATATATTTGAGCCCCTTGCTGCATTCACTGTGTCAGTCTGTCCTGTTGAAGGTATTTCTCTCTTTTGCTGATCCTCATGTTTTCCGAACATGGTGTCACTTTCCAATGAATGATCCCTCCTAACAGCATACTCAAGGCTTCTCAATGCTCTTCGTGAAATTTTCAGAGTCTCTTCTGACATCCTTTTGGTCTTTTCCTTTCCCCCTGCCTCTGCAATAACTTTTTGTTCTCCTTATTGATATCATAAATGTGTCCCTAACACATTCAATCTGCTAGAGAGGTGTGGATGTTGAGTTAGCAGAATAACTCCCTACAGAAACAGAAAATTCACTCTGCTCATCCAGTACTCCACCAGTACCCCATCACTGACTGGTGACAAACAGATGTGGTATTTCTTTTATTCTCCACACTCTCATAGTGACAAATAGTATGGCAATTTCCCACTTCCATAGTGTGGCCTGTCACACTATTTTTATGCCACTTCTATTCCATCTGGGGTCAGAGGCATGCCTGCATGGATCAGGGACATGCTTTCTTTCTTAGGCCAACAGAATCCATAGTTCCAGACCAAGCATTCTGACTTTAGCACCTGAAGGCCAATAGGAATTCCTTCCAAGGCCACGTACTTTGCCCCAGGCGTACAACAGGAACTCTATCTTAGTTTTGGTTCACTTTCCTCTAGTTGTTTTCTGACCAGAAGTAATCTCATTAAGTACAAAGCATATAGGCTTCAGCCACCCTCTCGTCCATCAGGAAACTCCACTTCAGACAGGCTGCCCTACTTTTGTGGCACATCAATCTATTGTTGTTCCCCTCACCCATCACCTTCTTACCTGGCAGGATAACCAGCTGAGTGAGGCAATGCCAGTTATCAAATTTCTTTTCTAAAATTGTTTCTTTTTCTTTAAATTATCTTCCTTTGTATTTATTTTTGTTTTTCCTATTGTCTTTTACCTTCCTTTTTTTCAAGCCTGGTTTTCTATACCTTATTTTCTTCTCTTGTATTTTTGTTTTTTCTTTTGTATACATACATTCTCTTTTTGTTGCTGTTTGTTTTTCTTCTTCTTTCACCACTCACTAGGCTATAGTAGTCACACTCACACTGATAAAACACACCTGCATATTTTGTACTTATATCCACAGGGCAAGAAAGACTCCACAGACTTCTATATTACTAAACTAATAAGAGGCAGCAACCAACAACAACCAGCCCACTTTAAACTTCTTTACCTAAATAGTGAAAAGAAGATTGCATATTCATTTCCATCCTCTGTAGGATGTAGCCAAAAGATGGAATATTTGTTACTGTTGTTATGTGCCATTGAGTTGGTTGTGACTCATAGTGATCCTATGTACAACATTTCTGAAGCCTGCCCCAACCTGGGCCAGTCTCACTGACTCTGACACACCTGCTCCTATTATTCCAGTTATCATGTCAATCAATTTCATCCAAGGTTTTTCTCTCCTATGTTTTCCTGCTAGCAAGCATCATATTTTTCTCCATAGACTGGTCCCTCCTGGCTATATGCCCAAAGTATTTGAGACATATATAGAACACTTAGGTGCTGCCAAAACAGCTAATAGAGTAGTGCCCTCACCACGTTCATGTAGATATAGCAAAACAAATTAAAGAAAAAAATCTGAGCAAAATACACCAACAAAAACCCACCAATCAAATATCAATACAACACCACCACAATGCTTTTAAGAGAATAGACAACTTCAGTTTACACAAAGACAGAATAACTCAAACAAGTGACCAAAAGAAGCTACACAAAATCTTCCTAAAGAATAAGAGGTGTTGGAATCATCTGATAAAAAAATTAAAAGAATTATATTTCTGTCCTTTCAAAAGACTGAGGAAGAGATTAAGGAAACTTCAACTAAAATCAAAGAAAGCAAAGACAAAACTCAGATTTTGCTAGAAATTAGGTAAGCAACAGAAAAATAAACTGGCGTAAAATGAAAAGTCAGAAACTGTACAAATCTAGAAAATATAAATTAAAAATGTAATACGTTTAGAAACAGATAATATATTCAAAGGGCAAATGAATAGAATAAATCAATAGAAGACAATTAGTGAGAGCAAAGTACTATTTTAATACTAATCTGTTATGGAACAATAAAAAAAGGAAAGGAAAATATATGAATAAAATCTAAGAATTATAAGGGACATTATCAGGCAGGAAAAACATGAATATGACCACAATTTCAGAACCAGAGTGGAAAAACATACTGAGAATATTGTTGAAGATTTGTTGGAAGAAAATTTCCCTAATCTTTTGACAAGTAAGAAGAAATACATCTAAGAACCTCTAACAAACTTCAAAAAGTATAGACTATAAAAAATATTAGCAAGATAATATTAACCAAATTTGCAAAGAAGACAAAAAAGAATCCTCAAAGTATCTTGAGGAAAATAAAATGTTGTCTACAAAGAAAATCAGTAAGATTAAACATTGATTTCTCAACAGAAACTATGTAGTCAAGAAAGCAATGGGATGGCATATATAAAACTCTGAAGAGAAAACTTACAAACCAAGAATTATTTATCTATCGAAATTGTCAGTAATACATAATGGAAAAAGAAAATCTGACATTTTCAGATAAACAAAAGGAATTTGTAAAAATTAGAAAAAACTTATATAAAATAGTAAAGGTAGGTTTTAAAACAT